GTGTTTGAACATTTCGTAGCTTATGCCTGTAGGCCCACATGCTTTGTTGTTTGGAAGCTTGGAGATTGTTTGGAGTAACTCTTCTGTTGTGATTGGTGTAGTGAGTGGTTTATACCATTGGGTGTTGATGTGAGTTAGGGGTTGGTAGTATTGTTGCTAGTAGTTTTCAAAGGTCATTTGGTTGATGGATTTGTGTGCAGTCCAGTTGTTGAAGTGTTGTTGTATGTGCTGCCTGATTTCTGTAGGGTCTGTAATCAGCTAGTTTGGGAGTTTGATATTAGAGAAGTGAACTGGAGGTTTGTAGCGATCTAGTATACTGTTGATTGCTTGTATGGGTTTCGAAACAAGGGTTTCGCATCTTTTTTCTGAGGCTTGATTAATTTGCTGTCTGAGTTTGAGTGAGTATTCAAGATGATATGCGTGGTAGATTTGTTTCTATATTGTGAAGGCTTGTTGGAGCCATAGTTGGATGTTATTGCTATTTTGTGAGAAGGGTGGTTGTAGGTCACATTTTGTATATGAGTTTATAAGTGTGATGTATAAGTAGATGCGTTGCCAGTTTATCTCATGTTGGTTGGTGCTGCTTTGAATAATTTTGATGAGGTGGCTAAGTTTTTTAAGGCCTGTGTATAGAGTAGTGTAGTGGGGGGTTTATTTATGATTGTAGCTACGCTTATGGGTCTTTTTGTTAGGGATTGTGTGGGTTGCTGCTTGTATAATACAGTGTTAAATTTTATGCCAAATAGTATTAATACTTGTGGAGGGTAAGTGTGAAGTAGGGATGTGATGATATTTGAAAAGTTTGGTAACAAGATCAGTGAATTCTGTCCAGTGGTCAGGGGCAGCTAATCTGTAATTAAAGATTCGGTGACATATATTTATGCATAGGCAGAGTGGTTTGCTGTATGCATTAGAAAAAGTCCAGGTAGTTAGCAATATTAAATAGTCACTTAGTGTACTTGTTTTGCTGTTATTAAGGCTATATATTAGAAGAAATTGAATATTGAAGGAGTCTGTCCAGATATAATCAATTCTGCTAGAGCTCATGTTGTTGGACTATGTATGCTGGATATTGTTAGAGTGTGCACCTATGTCAAACATGTTTGAGTGGTGTAAGAAGTTAATGAGTTTGAAATAAGCTAAAGAGCTGAAAATTTTATTGTGTGTGTTAAAGTCACCCAAGATAATTGGGTGAAAATTAAGTTGTTGAGCTTGTGTGATCCAGCTAATAACTGCGTTTTGAGTGGCATTTCTTTTGGAGGAATCTGTTGAGGAAAGATATACTGAAATAATGCGAAGTTTAATAGGGTTTTTAAAGAATAGATCGAGTGCAACTGCACCACCTGGGTGTATGTGGCAGCTGTGAACGTGTGGTTTGAGGTAGTTACGAATCATGATTGCTGAGCCTTCTGCTGAGCTGTCAGAGTTTGCCCAGTAGTATGTGAAAAGGTCATTATTGCAGAAGGAGAGTTTTGTTTTATGGGATATTTTTGTTTCTGTAATACTAGTGATTGAGATTTGGTGGTTTATACAATAGTCCTGCCAGACTTGTCTTTTAGCTGGTGTGTTGAAACCATGTACGTTGTGGGTAGCTATAGTTAGTTTCACGTTGTGGTGGCAAGTATCAGAGCTGCTCATCTAAATGTTTATTTGTGTCCATCGGCATTGGGGTATCTAATGAGGTGGTGGTGTTATTGTTTGAGGGTTGAGTGTTACTTGTTGTAGTTGTTGATTCTGTAGTATTTGTTATTTCTTTCAAGGTTCTAGTAGGAATAGACTCTTCTTGATCAAGGGGTATGCTTCTGTAGAATTGTATAGTACTTGGGGTAGTTAGTCATGCTATTGGTATTATGTTGTTGAAGATACTCCAGCTAGGGGTAGGGAGTAGTGGAAAATCTAAAAATGTGTCTAGAATTCTTTTAATTGTGAAAAATTGTCTTAGCACTTTCATAGTAGGGGTAATGTCCGCTTGGTTTTGAATAGGTAGTGAAATAATTATCTCTTCTTTTGTGAGGGTTTGGATGATTGTCTCTATGTCATCTGGTAGCTTCGGTGTTGTAAGCATCGACTGATGGGCTATTGTCGATTTGGATCCACTCAGAAGGTAGTTTGTTAAAGTAGAAGTGTTTGTGGAGTTGCCTAGCTGTGGTGGTGAGTTGTTGTGGTGTTGTAATGGGCAAAGGAATATTGAAGTATTCAGTAATATCTTTGTCAGTTGGTAGGTTAGGTTTATTTGTAGGATTGGCTTGCATAATTTCTAAGGAGAAAGAAAATTGATATTTGTAATAAGGAGAGATTTGTTTAATAAATTCCCTAGCCTATGCATCATCTGTAATTGGGAATTTGAATGGTTTGGTAGTTTTAATTTTGCTGCTGTCTTTAGATAACAAGAGTTTTGTAGCAAAAAAGTCATTGGGTAATAATTTAAATGTGTAGTATTCTCTAAGCAGAGTGATGACCTCTGCAAGTAGTATAGTTGAAGTAGCCTGGTTAAATAGGAAGAACTTGTGAACCTTTGGGTTAAGCTCTTGGTATGTTGTTGGCAGTAGTTTTTTAGAAGGTAGTAGTTTGAAGTATGCTTCTGGAATTTCTGTTACTGTATAGTAGTCAGCGAGTTTTTTCTTGTATTGGCCCAGATATTGAAGTGAGAATCGATGAGTAATAGGGAATAGTTGGCATAGATTTGTTAGAAGTTCATTGTAGTGGGCGGGTAGTGGTAGAAGTTTCGCAAAAAGAATCTGGTAGTTGTGAGAATTTGAAAATTCTTTATAGAGCATTTACTATGGCTTTGGTGTGAGATCGCTGTGTGATCAGAAGATTGAAGGGCAAGATTTCCTGGATTTCTGTAGAGATTTGTGCTGGTGTGTTAGGAAGTGGAATGAGCTTGTTTTCTACTGCTTTAATGATTTGTGCTCTAATCTCTTTAGAAGTTTCCTCACTGGTGTTTTTGATCTGTAAAAAGCCTCTAGCATATTGGAATACTTTATAGATCTGTCTAATTGTTGATCTGGAGAAGTTGATATTGGAGAGATATTGGGATATAAGCATTTTTTTTAACATAGTATGGATGGTGTTGCGAGTATTCATATTGGTAAGTGTTATATTATTTTCAGTTTTATAGATAGCTAGGGCTTTGTTAAAAAGGTTTGTATACTCTTTCTGATGTGCTGGTGTAGTTTTTGTATTACACGTGAATGTGGTGAAGAATCTGGTATCTTGGTGAATGAATTTGAGTGCAATCACTTCAGGGAGCTTATATTGTATTGAATTTGTTACTAGCTTGTGGCTAGTAAAGTTGTAGATACCCTCAAGAGTTTCTATGGCTTTTGCAATAGAGTCAAATAACCAGGAATTTGTATCGAATAGTGTATTGATGGGCATTGTAGTTTTGAGATATACTAATAAAGCCCATTCCGTGTCATCTGCTAGCACACTGGTTGTAAGGAGTTTGAGGTTGGTTTTGGTGACATGACTGTAGGAGAGCCTCGTGGTAGCTGTTTGGTTATTGTTAGTATTGTTGGTTTGTAGCTTTAAGCTAGTAGAAATGCTACCCGATAGTGTTTTGGTAATTTTATTAGAGGTTGCTGTTAGTGATGATATGTTTCTAGCCCTCTTGTGGTTGTTGCTAGGGCCTGCTATGGAGGCTGCAGATGCATATTGGAGGTCAGGATTAGTAATAACCAGTGGCGTAATTTGGTTGGTGGGTGTGCTGGATCTCGGTATGACAGGTTTTATGGTACTGTTAGTGTTAGTATTGGCTGTTGTACTAGTTGTGTATGGTGTATTTGTTGTTGTTGTAGTATTGATATCTCTGATATTGGCATTTGTGTTTGTGTGTGTTGTAGCAAGGTCATGGGGTTGGACAAGGTCCATAGGGGCTGTGTTTTGTAAAACAGGTTCATTGGTGCTTTTGTTTGACTCATTGTCTGATTCAAGTTCTGTAATACAGTTGTAC